ACTTATAAAAATGGGCATAAGCAGTATAGGATTCAAGATTATTTAGCTTCTCTAGGAAGACAGAAGCATTTCTGTTAGCATTACCAGTCACTGACAATGATTTTTTGGATCAGAATCTGCTTTTCTCTCCTTGGTATAGTTTTCTGTAACTGCTTAAGTAGAGGTAGCATTCCATGTTTTCACCACTATAAGATGTTTTCTCCATTTGTCTGGTTAAATTTCAATGAAGTGTATTTCAATTATAAGTTTAGCAAAACTGCGTCTCTGGTTGGTGCTCTCTGACTTCACTGTAGACTGATATCGTATTTTGTCTTTTTGGACTTTTCCAAGACTTTTCTCTATTAGACTTTGGAAACCCACTCCTTTTATTTTCAAGCTGATTTGCATAAATTCATCATCTGAAAGATGCTGCTATTCATTCATTTGACATTGAAATAGATATTTTGAAATTCTGTGTCATATACTGTTATTATCACCTATACTAGGAGTAGCAAGCCTCTAAATTGTCATCCTGCCCACTTAGTCTTTGGTTTACCTGCTGTTTGTGAGCTCCTGCAGTCAAAGACAATGTTTGTGCATTTGTTTTAACATCCCACGCGGCTATAACAGATGAAATGAAAAGTGTAATTTCCACAATAGATCTCCTTCACACTAAATGGCAGTCCTTGGCAGGTCTGGTGAATGCTGGATATTGAACAATAAAATTCATTGTTAATACATACCTCTTGCTGCTTGGAACTCAAAACACACAAACGGTTATAGAGTTTGGGGATAATGGAAAGTGTCTGTGATTGATTTATGCTACATATCACAATGCATTAAATTTTTATACATGTGGTAGAAATATGTTAAACTAAAAATGCATTTTTTCTATAGAATTATCATTCTATTTTATAACACCATGGATAAACATTATCTGCTCCTAGAAACTGTTTATATAGCACCTCTGAGATAGCTTTCTTGCTTGCCATACACTATTTTAATATGTTCTTTTTTGCAGAACTATTTGCAAGTACTTATTTTATAACAAAATTGTTTTCACATCTGGTTTGGGGTGTTTTGTTGATTTGGTTTGTGAGTTTGGGCTTTTTTCCTTTGGGATTATCCAGGCACATTGTACATTTGATTTATTTCCTCTTCAAAACTGTTGTTAAATTCTGTTTGCTTTTCAAAAACAGAAAGCTGAGATCATAAAATCTCCCATTCCTTTAATTTAAGCAAAAATAAGATAAAGTTTTTTCCTTACATAGATACTGTTAAATATACTGTTTTCACAACTATCTGCACCACTTAATAGGCTTTTCTAGATTCAGAATGTATATGTATGAGTTTGAAATATGTCAAAGTTTAATGTTTACATCTTGGGCTTTGATTTAATGAAGACCTATTTCCTTTGCCAAAAAATAGATATGGACATGGTTTACCAATCATAAGTAAAAATGGCAACAAAATCTACTTTTTTCATAAACTACATGGAGTCAGTTATCAATAAATTAAACATGACCTCAGTACTCTTCTGCCTAAAAAATAAGCACCTATGGTGATCATCATCTGAAACTCCCTTTGGAAATACTGCTTATAGGGTTATTTTAACTTAAGAGAACAAAATAATAAGAACTGGTCATCTATATTTGTGTGCATGTACACATTAACTGTTAATATATATCTATATAAGTCAAACTGTGTATTCTAGATGTACATAAAAACACACTCTGTATAGATAGGAATCGCATTTCTTACTTTTGCAGATATACAAGGTATATCTGAGGTACAAAAAGTAAGAAATATGTTTCCTGTAGTCACAGGTCTTTATTTGCATTTACAACAAATGATTTCTTGCCTTTCCTTGTATAAATGCAGAGAAACCCCATTGAAACAACACACATAAGCAAAAAATTGAATTTTGCTGTTAGCTTTTAGAAATATTCTGAGGTGTAGTTTGGGTACAGAACTCATATTGATTTTTTTTTTAATATGTTTGCTATTTTTTTATTCTTTCCAGACAGCCAGCTACCACTAGCTGCTGAAGAATACTCCCTGGGTCTTTGCTTGATGTGGTGCTTCCACACTCACTTTTACCTCTGTAGGGCCAGTGGAGATATGATTGCAACACACCCAGAAATACATATGGTAGCTTCAATTGAAGTACTAGGGATAACAGCTGCAGCACATCCCCAGAACAATGACTGCAGATGTTACTCAGTGGGGATCTTGCCCTGGATCAGTGGTACTGAGCAGAGACTGATGGTTATTGTCTCCATTATGCAGGTTCCACAGTAGATTGTCCTGCCTCCTAAGTCCATATATCAGCACCAATTCCTGCCACAGGTGATATCTCCATGAGCCCCTGCTCTACATGGTTTAGAGTTGGTGCTCATGGAGCTAGTGTAGAATAGGTATTTCCTCTCAAGCTAAGTTGGTTTTATTTTATTTTACTTTCTTGGGCATCAGCTGTTTTTCATTTTGCAGTGCTCGTTACAGGAAGAGGTAAATAACCTGAACCAAAAAAAGCTTTGAATTTCAGTTTTGAAGCAAACACTTTTTTCCATTCTTTCACTGCAGAACCTGCAGGTAGTGCATTACGTATAGATCTGGTCATTTGTAAAATCACAGCCTATACAGCTACTCTCCATTTGACAAAAGGAACTTTAAATTACCTGTTTATATTCTTCTTTTGAAAGCCGAGTCTGAAAAATAGAAGATTTACAAGTGCATTCTGTTGTTATTTCTTTGTCCCATCATTAAAATGAGGTTGTAAATCAAACAGTACATGGATTTCCCTTTTGGCACATTTATCCCCTACGGGTCATTACTGTGGGTGGGCAGAAAGTGTTGCACTTCAAAGCCGTTATCAGCCTTCTGTTAGTGGAATTACAATTTAGGCTCTGAACAGACCCATAGTTGATTAAGCATTTATCATTTATAACCTTTTTTCACCATAAAAATATAAACAAGTAGACAGTAGAAAAAAGTCTGTTCTTTTACATAAAAAAGAAGTAGGAGTTCTTTTGGTAAAATGTTTCAAGAAAAAATACACAGTGCTGTCTGCACTAATAGTACCATGACATTATTTTTAGATAAGCCTTGTTTATTTTGCTTTTTTCAGAAAAAGGGAAAAAACACCAATATGATGCATTTCACAAAGAAGTATCATTCATGGAGAAAGACAACGAAGTGGACAATTTCCTGTTTTCCTCTGTAATGATTGTAATCTTCCCTGAAGCATAAAGTTTGATTGCCATCATCTTTACATGGATGACTAAAATGTTATTACTGGCTATAAAATTATTCATCCCTTCTTTAAGAAAAACATCTATAGCACCTGCCTTTCCCATTTTGCTGCAGCTATAAAGATCTCAGGTTGAAGACCCCCAGTGTAAAGGAAGACATACTTGCTTCTACATATTTTCCCTGCCCATTTTCTCTCGTGATTCTCATCTTTAGAAAAGCACTAGAAAAAGAGCCTTATGGGCAGGATTCAACTGCTAATCTGCGGGTTTCTAGCACTTGCTCTTTATAAATGTCGTCCTTGCCTCCAGGTAATACTCTATAAGGATTTCTTTCTTGCCTACTGGCCAAGTCACATCTATCCATCCATGTTCAGTCTGGATGTTTTAGACGTTGCAGTGGATACAAAATGGCTTCATAATATGTGTTGCTTGGACAGTTGAATTCCTTATTTGGCTGCCTGAAGACTGTAACATCTGGAAAGTTAAAGAATATTTGATTTTTCTTTAACCATCTAATTTCTATTGGCACTAAATGTTGTACTCTTAAAAGGAAATATGGATTTTCATTTTCAGTATACTCAACCTATATCTGGAAGATTCCTATTCACTTAGAATTTGCACTAAATTATATGGTACCTATATACTTTATGTCTTATTATGAACTTCCCTCTCTCTTGTCATTACACCAGAAAAAAAGGGTAACAAAGAGCATTTGTAAGATATGAGGAATTTACTTGCCCACACATGAAGGAGCAGCACCAGATGGGTTAATCCTGCTATAGCAGCCTCACCACTGTCATGTGCCTGGTTTCATCAATGTCTAATGAAATCAATACTGACACTATTTCAGCAAGGGCAATACCAGTTTCAGAGGTTTGTCTTCACCACAGTAGCACTGGATGAATATTCTACAGAAAAAAATTGTGGGTCACCTAAAGTGATGTTAGTTAACAGCAGTTGTACATTCTTCATAGTTTAATAGATCCTACTTGTTTATATCATGTTATTTTAGTTGCAATATTTCTTGTGTTTTATGTGGTTCCTTTTTAATGTGCAGTTGCTCTCTTTTTCTGTGATAAGGGTTTTTATTACCTTTTCTAAAATGCTTCTTCTTGCCTGACTTGACTAGAAGATAGTTGCTTCACTGTAAGGTGATTCCCCCCAAGAAGCACCTATCCTACTGCAGATACTTAATTTAAACAAAAAAAAATGTTCACATCTCCATACCTATCTTTTGTGATTGAGTGCAAAGAAGGTAAAAAGATTAACGAATTAAGGACAAATTTTTGATGTGTAAATTAAATGTGTTGTGACAGTGTGGAGCATGATTTGCTACTCAATGTGCATTACAGAAATCTATATATTGGCTCTCCATTTTTCTTCCAGGGGTTTGAAATGAAACTTCCTGAAATACATATATTTGTTAGTGTATTCATGTTAATAGACCAAGGCTTCAGCTGAACTTCGAATAAGAAAGGAAAATCATGCCAAAACTCAAGAACAAAAATGGCAAAGTATAACCAGCTTTTCTTTTTTGCTGAACTGCAACTGGCTTACATTGATGAAACAAATATATTTACCAAATAATTTCCACTAAAACATTTTTGGCAAAAGTTGTTCCTCATAAGCAGCTGATAATTGAATTAAGTCTTGAATTGTTTAGTATAAAAATCTTCAAATATTTTTCTATATACCCAAATTTCTGAAAGTTTAGTAAAAACTGCTATCATGAAAGGGCTGTTCAGTATTTGTTAGGTTTGACCTGTTTGGAACATAAAGGTAGGCTTTGAGAATGCACTTTGTTAACATCTAAAAACGGATAGGAAATTCATCTTTACTTAGTATAGTGTTAAAAAGTATACCTAAAGCTAAGTATTTGTTTCAGTTCACTGAAATAAACAAAAGTTACTTTCCAAGAATTCAGTAAGTCCTCAAGCACTATAAAAACTGATGACTTTTCATTGTTCAATGAATTTAGTCAAAGGGTTTTTCACAGGAGAATTAAAATGAAGCTCTGTGATATTTTAATGGAATATAGTACATAGGTCAATGTGCAATGAAAAACAAATTATATCACACAGCCACTAATGTGCCAATGCAGTAGGATGCAGTGCAGCATAGCTCCATTCCAGCAAAATAGTGTTTGAGGCTATTAAGTCAGCCTTTTCACAGACACACAGTCCATTGACTAGATCACACCCAGTATCCAACTGAACTTGCTTGGAGGTAGTTTAGGTAGTTTGAAACAGTGCCAATGTGAGCAGCAAAGAGTAGCTTTAAAAGGCACATTGCTCAGCAAGTGGTCCTCTGCTCTGGTCTTTGTCTCATGCTTTAGAAGGATACTGTTTGGGAATAGTTAATTAAACCAGGGAAAAAGCTGAACTCATTAGCCGTTCATACTTCAGTAGCTTAAGGCATTCTAACGATCAGAGAGAAAATAACACATGATATGTATTAAGTATGATTTACATTCAGTGGTGTGTGGGGGGATGTAACACAATCCTCAGGTAGCTTCACAAACCTTCAAGAAATTTCTCAAGTGGTCAGCTCTGCCTCTGCATTTAGATGTTAGAAATTGCTGCAGACAGCTCTGCTTTCTTTTGGAGTCTAACCTCTTTGCACATTTATAGGATCAATCTTTAATAGATGGATGCAATCCATTCACTGAATTATGTATCCTAGTTCACCTAGGGGTAGATTCAAATCTGCATGGTGCTCTCAACATTCTTTATTTTGCATCTGAATTTTGAATCCATGATTTATTTGAAAGATGTGTAGACATGAGCAGACAGATCCTTATTATTTGACTATTATACTAACTAGGGAGATTCATGTGTATTGTTTATTTCACCATCATACAGAATAATTTACATTCTAAAAAAAAATAATAAAAAATTGTGTTCTTCAATCACTTATTGGAGATCATAAGAAATCAGCAATAATATTTAACAATGCAGAATTCTTTGTATAAATCTTATCACTGAAGAATCTCATCCCCAAAACACTGCAGAGTTACTGCTTTGCCTGGAAATACCATTCTCAGCCAACTCCTTTGGTTTTGGACTCAGTTCTGCAAGGTAAAAAGCACTTTAATCAACCAAGTACTCAAGACAAAGTCAACTGTAAGTATACAAAGAATAACACTGATCTAGGAGGAGGAAAGCAGATGAGGTCAGCCTGCTTGTGAGCTGAAAAACTCAATGCATCTGAGAGATACGGGAAAAGCATTAGAACTTACAGATGCTTGGAGGAAAAAAGTATGCAGTGGTTTGATAGAAAAAAATCAGAGAAATTCCTTCCTATTGCAGCATCATTGTTTTTCTTCTACAGATCTTTTCAATTGCTCACTGAAAATCAATGGACAAGAAACAAAAAATAATGCCCTCATTCTTTCCTAAGGTTATACTTCACGCTAAGGGAAAAGTCAAAGTCCTCAAAAAATGGTTTTAAGTAAATGCAAAAGTGAATGCTTTCGTTTTTCAGTAAAATGCTGAGATCTGCTACATCCTCATGTTGCATGCAGTGCTTGAGATGCTCTCAGTAAAACTGCATTTAGCATTTGTGTCTGTCCAGAGGCAGAAACAGAAATTAAAACATGTAATCTAGGACAGTTAAATTTGCATGAACTAACCATTAAAGCAAAGAATGCATTCATAGGGATTTATTTTTATGTGTTTTTCAGAAGCATGGTAGTGCACAGTCTTTTTTTTATTAAATTGTCAAAACTATTACCAGGATATGCAGAACTTAAATTTATAAATTAAGACTTTAAGACTTTGTTGGTTAATTTGTTGTGCTAGGAACAAGACTCAGAAATTCTTATATTATTAGAAAACTATTTCAGCTTCAGAAATTGCATTACATCAGAAACTGAATAAGTATCCATGTTTGTATGACCTGATTTTCCGGCATTTATGGAAACCACAAATGTATAATAAAAAAAGTAATTAAGCTGCTTTGCAAGAAATGTAATGTCTAAATAAGTGTTGAGAATGCCTTTCCAGTAAATCTTTTTAGAAATTTTTAGTTATACTATTACTGTTCTATCTGATAACATATGTCCTGGGTTCAGCAGTAGCAGTCATGTTTTTTTTTTTTTTCCTTTGTGTTAGCTGGTGCAGTGCTGTGTTTTGACTTCCAGCCTGAGAACAGTGTTGGTGAAGTCGATGTTTTCAGTTGTTGTTAAGTGATGTTTACCCTGATCAAGGACTCTGTGAGGCTCATGCTCTACCAGGGAGGAGGGGAAGCCGGGAGGAAGCAGAGACCGGGGGCGCCTGACCCGGGCTAGCCAGGGAGGTATTCCATACCACAGCACGTCATGCCCGGGGTGGGGGGTGACTGGGAGTTACCCGGAAGGACACGGGTTTCTGGGTGGAACTCGTTTTTTTGGCCGGTGGTATCGTATTCTCTTCCCTTGTTATTTTTCCCTTATCATTGTTGTAGTTGATAGTAGCGGTGGTGATTTGTGTTGTACATTGGTTGCTGGACTGTTCTTGTCTCAACCCGTGGGAGTTGCACTTTTTCTCTATCCTCCTCCCCGTTCCTCCAGGAGTGGGGAAGGGGAGAACCCCGGCGGGGGGGGGGGGGGACGGGGGGACACGGACCTCGATTGTTGTCAGCTCGGCACCACTCACTGGGAGTGAGTGAACAAGTTACCTGACTGGGTTTAAACCACGACAGCATAGTCAACAGCAAAGAATATATGACAATAACTGTGAAAAAAAAACAATCTTCCATATTAATTTCTGAAAGAATTCCAAAACCTTATTTAGAATTAGCTAAATATTAAGGTACTCACAACCAATTTGGGTTCTTTTAAAAATCTTTCTTATTACAGAAACTGATCACAAAATATATATTTCATACAAGTTGAGATCTAGTTTTCAGTACTGAGCCTACAAGTAAACTGTAAACTGATTTCAGAAAAGCTAAATATATAGGTTAACTTATTGATTGTTCAAGCATAACACAGCAGAGTACTTGATTTTGAAAACTGTTCCAGGATTAAGTCATTCACAAAAGCAGCCTTCTTTATTCTTTCATTTTCTACCAACAGGTATTTGAAGAAGACAGTTTTTATCATTGGAAAAGGAAGATTTGTCAAGGAGTTATTAGAGGTACATTTTGGTTGGATTTATTACATTAAAATATTGGTAAATATAATAATAATATTTTGTATTTCTTACCTGGTGTCCAAGGTATTGTCCATCTAGTCTATTTTCCATGTGATCTCATCTCCTTCAGGCCATCATGGTATGGCTAACACTTCTGACAGCTGAGTGAGATCAGGAGGGCTGTCATCTTCAACTTCACTTCAAGAGGTGTTGAAAACTTCAGTGCCACAGTGACAGTTATTTGAAGCAGCCATCAGATAGTTATGAATCTTTCTCTTGGAGAAGGAAAATGTAGCTAGACCTAACTCTTTGGTTTAAATGTAAGTTTTCTGACTTTGATTCCCTCCTGACTTCCTTTCCAGCTCAGAGACACTCGTGAGTTGATGCTGTTAACCCAGAAAGTGTCATTTCACTTAGGCCTAGGAAAAGCTTATAAAATGTGATAAATTAGTACAGTTTGCACAGGTTGTCCTCCTGGTCTAGCTCCGGCAAAGCCTGGTAAGTTTATATCTATCTTCTCTGATATAGACTTCAACCATTTAGGCTTTTAAGGATGCATAGAACCACACAGGTTATTCATGGCAATTCCCCACAGTTATTTCCTTTCCGATTTTGCCTAAATTAAATACATACCTGCATACGTATGGGCAAAATGTCATCACCATTTCTTATGGTCTGTGTTTACAGGGAACAGCCATCTTCACTAATAATTAAAGCATATATAAGATGTGTGTCTGGTCAATAGAAGAATATTAGGTCTCTCGGACAGTGTCCCAAGAGTCATAGTATGAACTTTTGCTATGAGACATATAGTGAACAGCATCTTTTAACAAAACTACTTCTCGACTCTACTAAATTAGCTTTTTTTATTAAATAAAAATAATCAATATTGTTGTTCAATAATGGCATTTATTCATGGAATAAAGGATTGTAGAGATGAAGAAAGCATTTTCATATTTTAAGAAGATAATATTATGTTATAAAATTTAATGTTTTATTATAAAATATAAAAATCTTAAAATTATTTTTTTACAGTTTTAGACAATTTTTTTATAAGAATTGGGTTTTCCTTTCCCACTAGTGGTTACAGTCTTTAAAGTAGTTCAGTGTGATTTATCAGCGGCCTGGTGAAGGTGTACACAGGTATGTAATTTTACTAAATGTGGGAAAGATGATAAGGTAAGAGATTCTCTGCACTTTTTTTCTTTAACATATGATGAAATACTGAATAAAGTTTTCATCACTTTCCAGGGACACCCTTAAAAAACCTGTCAATGTTTTTACTACTGTTGATAAAATTAGGTTAACATCTTTTGACAGCACTTGCAAAACAATAACATTTCATTCACATGTAGCTTGAAATTTTCCTTTGAAATATGAGACATTTTGAATTACATTCCTTTCTTTTTTTTTTCTGTCTTTTCAAATTTATTGGGTAGAAATGAAAGAAAAAAAAACCAGAAGAATGACACTCCAAACATGTGCATGTGTGCACAACAAGGCTTGTGCAGTCATGGCAATACGTGTAAAATCTGATTTGTGAAAAAACAAAAGATGAGATGCATGATGGACAGGTTTTGGGTTTGTCTCTTACCTGTGCTATGGTCCTTCAAAAAGGTGGAGGTGGTTTGTAGGAAAAATGATTACTCTTTGTCTTCTGCTGGCTGGTAAATTCTTGGACAAGGAAGGAATTGAAATGGCAGTTCAGACTGGTGTTACCTGGAAACAGGAGTTTCCTGGAAAACCAAATGATGGCACAGAAAGAAAACAGTCAAGGAGAAAAAAACAGTAAAGGTATATCAGACTAAAAGACATCTGAAAGGGCAGGCCTGAGAGGTGACAAAAAGAGGTAGTTTTTCCCTAGGGAAACAAAAAATGAGTGTGGGGTTTATTGCAGCCTGGAATTACTGGAGTAAGACCAAGCCTGATAGACAAGACGCAGCAGGTAGGGAGAAGTGGAAGACTGTTGTTTTGTTATGTCTTACTCACTCTCAGTTTCCTCTGTTCTAAATTATCTGCTTTGTAGCTAATCTTCAGTTAAAACATACCTGAGTTTTTGACATGCACTTTTCAGAAAAAGAGCTGAAATCTCTGACAGTCCTGTGGCCTCAGAAATACATAAGCAATGTCATAGAATCATAGAATCATAGAATAGTTAGGGTTGGAAAGGACCTTAGAGATCAGCAAGTTCGAACCCCCCTGTCATGGGCAGGGACACCTCACACTAAACCATATCACCCAAGGCCTCATCCAACCTGGTCTTGAACACTGCCAGGGATGGAGCATTCACAACCTCCCTGGGCAACCTATTCCAGTGCGTCACCACCCTAACAGGAAAGAATTTCCCTCTTATATCCAATCTAAACTTCCCCTATTTAAGTTTTAAGCCATTACCCCTTGTCCTATCACTACAGTCCCTAATGAAGAGTCCCTCCCCAGCATCCTTATAGGCCCCTTTCAGATACTGGAAGGCTGCTATGAGGTCTCCACGCAGCCTTCTCTTCTCCAGGCTGAACAGCCCCAACTTCCTCATCCTGTCTTCATACGGGAGGTGCTCCAGTCCCCTGATCATTCTCATGGCCCTTCTCTGGACTTGTTCCAACAGTTCCATGTCCTTTTTATGTTGAGGACACCAGAACTGCACACAATACTCCAAGTGAGGTCACACAAGAGCAGAGTAGAGGGGCAGGATCACCTCCTTCAACCTGCTGGTCATGCTCCTTTTGATGCAGCCCAGGATACGGTTGGCTTTCTGGGCTGCAAGCACACACTGCCTGCTCCTGTTCATTTTCTCACTGACCAACACCCCCAAGTCTTTCTCCACAGGGCTGCTCTGAATCTCTTCTCTGCCCAACCTGTGCCTGGGAATGCTCCGACCCAGGTGTAGGACCTTGCACTTGTCATGGTTAAACTTCATGAGGTTGGCATCAGCCCAGGACTTGGGTGGTTTGGTCAGAGCCTTTGCCAGTGAAGACCGAGGCAAAGAAGTCTTTGAGAACCTCAGCCTTCTCCAAATCCTGGGTAGTCAGTTCTCCCGAGAGCTTCCTGAGGGGGCCTATGTTCTCCCTTTTCTGTTTTTTTATTTGCTATGCACCTGTAGAATCCATTCCTGTTATCCCTAGTATCCTTAGCCAAGTTTAATTCTAACTGGGCCTTAGCTTTCCTAACCCTGTCCCTAGCTTCCCAGACAACTTCGCTGTATTCTTCCCAGGCCGCCTGTCCTTGCTTCCACCTTTTATAAGCCTCTTATTTCATCTGAATTTTCCTCAGGAGCTCCTTATCCACCCAAGGAGGTCTCCTGGCCCTCCTGCTGCACTTCCTTCTGGTTGGGATGCAACACTCCTGAGCTTGTAGCAGGTCATCCTTGAATATCAACCAACAGTCTTGGGCCCCCCTGCCCTCTAGGGCTATATCCCATGGAACCTTACTAAGCAGGTTCCTGAAGAGGCCAAAGTCTGCTCTTTTGAAGTCCAGGGCAACGAGCTTGCTGCATGCTCTTCTCACTGTCCTGAGGATCTCAAATTCAAGCATCTCGTGATCGCTGCATCCAAGGCTGCCCTGGAGCATCACATTTCCAACGAGCCCTTCCCTGTTGGTGAGCACGAGGTCAAGCATGGCACCTCTCCTTGTCACATTCTCTATTACTTGCAGAAGGAAGTTGTCTTCTACACAATCGAGGAACCTCCTGGATTGCTTGTGCTGGGCCGTCCTTCCAACCGATGTCAGGGTGGTTGAAGTCCCCCATGAGAACAAGGGCCTGTGAGCGTGAGGCTTTTCCTGTCTGTCTACAGAGTGCTTCATCCGGAGGTTCTCCTTGATCAGGTGGTCTGTAACAGGTCCCCACAGTAATGTCTCCCATAGCTATATTCCCTTTAACCCTGACCCACAAACTCTCTGTTAACTGCTCACCTGTCCCCAGACAGAGTTCCATACTCTGCAGCCTATCCCTAACATAAAGGGCAACACCTCCTCCCCTCCATCTGCCAGGCCTGCCTTTTCTAAATAGCCTGTAACCTTCCATTCCAACACTCCAGTCATAGGAGCCATCCCACCATGTTTCTGTGATGCCTAGTATATCATACCCCCGTAGAGGTGCACACATCCCTAATTCCTCTTGTTTGTTCCCCGTACTATGGGTGTTTGTACAGAGGCATCCGAGCAGAGCTCCAAATGAAGCCGGCTCCTCGGCTGGAGTGGCTGCATTATCCCTACATTGATCCGAGCATTTATTATCGGTGCTAGCAACTGACTGGGTGTGTTGGGATGTCCATGACTTTCATGCTAGAATCACCTAGATGTGCAGAGCTGTGTGCATCTCTGTACACAAACACATCCATAATCGTGGAAGGTTTAGCAATAAAATGGGTTGGACAAAGACATTTGTCTTTGAACATAAAATATCAGTGTTAGGGTTTTTTTTCCATTTTTAACACATTGTTTTCACATTTGGGTTATTTTTATTTGTTTGTTTGTTTTTTCACTCTATCTTTTGAAAAAAAAATATTGAAAAGTTAGGAGTATGGTCACAAGGTAATATTGTAATAGGCATTTAGTGATCCAAGAGTAAATCATGAGATCCAAGGATCCAAGTTCATGTTCTACCTCATTCAATCATTCAGCATGATTGAGAAGTTCCATCATGTATTGATTCATGAATCTTTGAACCTCCTTTTAGGACTGTCATGGTTTAACCCCTGCTGGTAACTAATCAGTACACAGCTGCTCACTCAGTCTTAACCCCAGCAGGATGGGAGAAAGAGATTCAAAGGGTAAAAGTGATAAAAATTGTGGGTTGAGATAAGAACATTTTAATAATTGAAATAATAATAACAACAACAAAAATTATAAAGTGTAATGAAGAGAAAAGTAACAAAGAAAGAGAACTACAACCCAAGAGAGACAATGATACAAATGACAAAAATTGCTTACCACCAAGTGACTTATGTCCAGACAGTCCCCAAGCAGTGGCCCCCTTAGACAACCTTGCCCTTAGTTTATTGCTGAGCATAACATCATATGCTATGGAATACCCTTTGGATCAGTTAGAGTTTGCTGTCCCAGCTCTGTCCCCTCCCAACTTTTTGTGCACTCCCAGACTCCTTACTCGTAGGGTGATGAGAGGAGCAGAAAAGGTCTTGACTCAATGTAAGCACTGCTCATCAGGAACTAAAATGTCTCTGAATTTTCAACACTGTTTCCAGCATAAATCCAAAATATGGTCCCATACTTGCTGCTGTGAAGAAAATCAACTCTACCACAGCCAAAACCAGCACGTTCTCGCCCCCCCCCCCCCCCCTTATTCTATACCATTTATGTCATGCTCAGGTCCCACACTATCCAATAGCCCAGCCAGATTATAGGGTTTAACACTGTAATGAGCAGCTTCCATTGCTCCTTACCTGGCCAGCAACAAGGGGTTCCTGCGATAGTAATGCCCATAACATGCAACTCAAATCATGGATTATTTTCATCCAGAATTAAATCACTTTGAGGTACACATTGGACTCCCACATCCTTCTGAGTTACTCACCAAGTGCACGCATGTCCTTGAGCAAAAAAAAAAGTCCCATTAATAGGTTCACCATTTTCTAAGGAAGAAATAACCTAGACTGTTTTTCCCAACAAGTTTCTTATATATACTTTAGGGATCTTACCTCCTTCCAAAGTGTGCTGGGGTTTAGTTTGGTCAGGACTAGGCTGACTGGCAGATCCTCCTCCAGTGTTAACTGGCCAAGTGGCTTCTGCTAAATGTGTATCCCAGTGTTGGAAAGTCCCATCACACATTGCTCTTTTAACAGTCTATTGTATCATTCAGTTTTCCTGAAGGCTTGTGCATGGTAGGGGATGTGATACACCCAGTCAATGCCAGGCTCTTTGGTGAAAGCGTTTATGAGATTGCTTGTGAAATGAATTCCATGGTCTGATTCAATTATTTCAGAGGCATCATGTCACCATAAAACTTGCTTTTCAAGGCCCAGGATAGATAGTATTCTGGGCAGTGGCATAGGGCACAGTGCATGTTTCCAGCCGTTCACTAGTTGCTTCCACCATTGTGAGCACATGCTGCTTCTCATGATGGGTTCATGGTAGTGTGATATAATCAGTCTGCCAGGCTTCACTATAATGGCATTTCAGCCATTGTGCTCTATACCAAAAAGTCTTTTGCCACTTAGCTTGTTTGATTATGGAGCTTGTTTGACATTCATAACCTGCACAATGATCATGTTCTGATGGAGCCTGAGACATATTCTTCAACTGCTTCTTAAGCTTAGACAAAACCAAAGCAATATTCCTAATAAATACCAATACAAGTATTGTATACCAAGAAGTCATTGAAACAAGGGAGAAAACATCACAAAATAAGGTAGAAAAGGTGCCATTCTGCATTTACTCTACAAAAAATCTCCTAGATGAAGTATAGTTGTTAATTGTCTCCATGATATGGTACCTGAAGTATAGTAATGGCTTCAGTACAGAGATATATGATATACAGATATGAGATTAAGCTCAAGGTCAGTGTTTCAATAACAAGTCTCCCAAGCAAAAGATCACTAATCACTACAGAGCAGAGTGAACTACAAAAGCCAAGACAGAATTTTAACATATACCACAAAAATAAAAAGAGCGTGGCACAGATCAGATAAAAGAATATGGAGAACAGATGAATAAATATTGTGACCCACAACTGTTAACAGATATAAATCCCTTCTAATACACTCTGTTCGATCTGTTATTATCTCAAACGCTTCCAGACCCACATTGGATGCACAACAGGACAGTTTTAGCTTTACCCCAGCCAACAACTGATCACCGCACATTCACTCACCACTGTTTCCAGAAAAATTTTAAAACATAGCCTCATCCTAGCTACTAAGAAGAAATTTAACTCTACCAGAGGCAAAAGCAGCACAACTATTATTTTATTTTTTAAAAAAAACTACTCAGAGGCTCAGTTTACCTGGGCAGCGAATGACGCATCTACCTTCCTCCTCTGCTTTTTTAAAAGCAGGAATCATCATGAATCTGATAAGCTGCTTGAATATCCTGCTACTCAATTAATTTTTCAACAAAAAAAACTGAGAAACTTCATAACTCCCTTTTGCTTTCTGGATATTTTTTTTTCTTTTTAA